ATGCAATAAAACTGTATCATATTTTTCCGTATTTGTGCTACACAATACAGTTCGAGAACTTCTTTCAATCGGGAACTGATAACGGAATGCAATAAACAATGATAATATCCGTTTTGGATAAGATAACAATTAGCATTATACTGCAGTGATAACAATGATGATAAGAATGATAATGCAAACAACTACTGTTTGTGATAACATGAATAGACAATTCGATGCAAGTCAGATCATAGCCTCACTCAGGCTCAGTAAAATCAATGGCACTGGTACAGCGCTTTTTTTGATCGTGGCCGAATGGTTTGCTCAGAACCGAATGGTATATTAATGCCATTGAATGATTTTTAGAGGGATGAGATTCTCCTCGACCTAAGAGTACCAAAATATCGGTATATAGATTGGAAAGTCTGAGCAGTAAGGTCTCAACAATGTTTTGGTGGACCGATACTTCGGGTATTTTGAATGATATATGGAGGGAGAATAATCATTCAAAAGATAAATATTTTTAAAACTGAGGTGCTCCTCGATCTCACAGAACCAAAATATCAATATATGTATTGGCAAATGTGACGACCAGGGTCCCGACAATGTTGTGCCTAGCATAACATTGGCCAGACCCTACTCCTCAGGTTTCCTAATCTGTATATGGATATTTTGGTACTCTTCGATCGACTAGAATCCTAGTTTTCTGAAATTATGCATTTAGACGCGTCAACCTACCTTCATCACTCTGCGTTTCTGTAATAATCAGTACTACATTAAAATATTCACTATCAGAAATCGTCTACAGTAATGATATGTGCTATGGATTAATGTGGTGCGAAAATCGGGGAATTTCGGGGTCCCTGTCCTGGAATCCCTGAATCCTCGACATTTTTCCAGCGGTGGACATTTTCGGGGTATTCTCCGTCCCTTAAAAGTCTTCGACTTTTTTTTCCGTTCTCGCACCATACTACTTTGGATAAATGAAGAAACACTTCATAATACATCGCTATGTTCATCCCTCCCATTGCCTTGTAAAAACTTCAATCAAAGACACAATTGGCTTACGGCGAAGATTGTGAATGACCTCGAAAGGATGCTTTCCGACGAAAACTTGTGCGATTTGCGTTCGTTTCGATAACAAACAGTGATGATTTGTTGCTGAATCTTTTCGAAGCAATTCCAACCATTCACTTGGTTTTCGAACGTTTTCATTCGGTTTGGTTGTTTTCGCTTGAGTAGGTCGGTCGTCTCCTGTCCAATACTCAGCCAATTGCTCTAACCGATCAGTCACTCCTTGGCCCTGCAAGATCGATCATCTGCCTTGTTATCTCCTTGATATCTTCACCAACAACATTTTCTTCATTCATTTCCTTATCAGTCGCTAATTTCGATACAATTCCATGTTTTATTCTAGTGATAAAATGATTTGATTAAAACCGATAAGGATGATTTTAAATTATGAGCAGTGTTTTTACTTTCCTGTAGTATTACTATCAAGTCAGCATTTCAATTTTCCATTTCAATCGTTCAAGCCATATTCTTCATTAACAACGATTGTACTTTCGTTTATTCATTAAGCAATAGCCACAAATCATTTTTCGTTATTCATTCAAAATTTCTCCTTTCAGTTCACAGTATTGATCAACTAGCTGATCAGCGCTACAGACAATCACAAAAGTTTTCGATATACGACTCAAATATTTGACGATTCATTGACTTATTACAATAATCTCAGTACAATCCACGATAATGGGCTCTTATGTTCCATGCAGATAGTAAGATTTACCATCGCAGTTTAATTCATTTCATTTCCCTTTACGACAACCCTAAAATCTGTAATTCTCAATGAGTCATTCTGCGGATTCAATATTAATCTATCAGATCACATTGAACTTAATAAAATGTATTTATGGTATATAAAATGCTTTATCAACTGGCTATATGTGCACAATTTCAAATATGGAATATACTCCAATAAATAAACCAGTTTCATTGAAATGAAGATTTTCGCCGAAATGATTTTTACAGTAGATATGTTATCAATAAAAATAACCAATACTGCCTTCTGATAACTTCAGCTGAATGATCACCCTATCAATCATAATTTGATAATAACAACTAATTAATTATAATAATTATAATATTAATTACAATTATTATAATTAGTTGTTATTATCAAATTGTGATTCTGATAATATTAATGATTATAATGATGATACTAACGATATTAATATTTACTTTCAAAGAAGCAAATTTTAGTTTCAACTACGTGCTTGAATTCGAAGACGAGGTCGCACTGGATCTGTACATTCAAGAGAAGGGCTATCGACGTGTGAACGAGTATGAACGCAATGGAACACTCCGCATCAATTACGTTTGCAAGGAATATTTTCAAAAGGACATCAAATGTAATCATAAAATGAGTGTGATTATGAAAGATGGTATATTGACCGCAAAAACCACTGACGGTGGAAAACCACATGAGCATTGGTAATGTATTACTCGTTCTGCTTAGATTGCCTTGAATTTAGTTGAACATCCCAAATCCAAAACCCTATCATTTAACATTTTGTTATTATGATCGAATCGCTCTTTCAGATTTGATCTGACAAAGTAAACCTTTCTTATTGAGTCTAGCACACCATCGTTCCCATGTATCCTTGCAAAGTGACAGTATGAATTTTTAAGGAATAATTCTAAAAGAATTATGTTCTAGTGATCGTTTTATGTTATTTTGAAAGTGCGATTTTTGTAAAGCAAAGTGCTAGTGGCTTTAATTCATGAGTTTTGAGCCGATTATCTTCTTCACTTTTCTGAACAAATTATCTCATGGAACTGAGCGTGATCCTTTCAAAGTGAAGCACTGAACTATTGTGTTCAATAATTTCCTTCTGATTTCAGGCGTGCTCCAATGTCTGCATTGAATACTACCGAAAAGGTTAGTGACCGCTTTTGCGTTCATTTGATCGATGTTTAGCTGATCGATTAATTTTATACATCCATTTATTGTTTTAATCAGTGATCAAATAACTCAATATGAGTTTATATCCAGCTCTCTACATCAGTTATATTGTCAACAATACAAGTAAAATCCTCAGTGCTCATTAATGTTCTTTCAACCCGATAAAGCGATATTAGTACAAAAGGATGAATACGATCGTACCATCTAAACACTCAAATCAATCGTAGTATCAAAATATACACTATTAAAAGACTTTTTTCATAAAACTTCCATGAATTAGTATCTTTGTAATTCAGGATATCACACGAGCGCTACACAGCGCTGATGTTAC